GGGACTGTGTGCCCCCACAAAGATGTCCAGAGATCAGTGGGACTGTGTGCCCCCACAAAGATGTCCAGAGATCAGTGGGACTGTGTGCTCCCACAAAGATGTCCAGGTACAGAAACCCTTCACGGGCATTGTGAGTTGGCATCAACTCAATGGCTGTGGATTGTTTTTTTCTGTAAAAATGAAGGTGATGATGACCTAAGTTCATGGCTGCCTTTTCTCTGCATTCCTGAGTCATGGCGAGCACACTCCCTCCCCAATGCTTTACAAGGCTCCTTCCTAGTCCCCCCCAGCATCCCTGAACATCGAGGTTACCAGCCTCATTTTACAGATGGGAACTGAGGCCAGAGTTGCCCCAGGTCTCAAAACTGGTAAGGTGTGAGTCAGGGAAGGGCTAGCTTCCCAACTAGGATTTGCCACCTCATTCAGCTTGGGCTCAAGGCTGGGCACTCTCTACCAGGCCTTTACAGTTGGGCAGTGTGCATGCTGGTTCAATGCAGAGGCAGGGAAGCCAGGCTGCTGTATGATAAACATTGGGTTTCAAACCACAAGGTCTGCGGTTCAAGCCCACTAGCTGCTCTGCAGGAGAAAGATGAGGCTTCCTGCTCCCGTGAAGATTTAAAGCCTCAGAAACCCACTGCAGGGTTGCTGTGAGTTCGAACCAACTCCACCACACTTAGCAACAACAGTTGATGTGAGATCTGTCAGTGTTTCCCTCTGTGAAATGGGCGCCGTGGGAGAATGCTGGCCACCCCCGACTCCCATGTCCCTCTCTACTGGGCCTCCTGCCCAATCAGTGCTGTTTAGCTACAGTGACCTCCCCTGTGACCCCCATCAGGTCTGCAGTCCTCCATCCCCAGCAAAATCCCTGATGCAAGGAGACCTGTCCAGAAAAGTCGCCCTGGGACCACCTCGGTCTGGGCTTGGCAAAGAGTGGGTTTAGTTCTGGATATCCCAAGGGAGGCTGGTGGGGCTGGCAGGACAGATCCCCTGGCTGAGCAGGCTGGGCTTGCATAGTGTGTCTGCTGCAAACCAGTGATCAGACTTTGCTGTCCCTTTTTGTCATTGCAGGCCGCCAACAGCTACCTGAGAGACCAGTGGTTCCATTCTCTGCAGTGGAAGGTAAGTCCTCTCTTGTTAAGGACATTGCTTCCATCGGCAGCTGCTGCTTACCATTCTTAGGCAAAGGTGGGTAGGCCAGGGTGTCTGCCTACTTTAGCCGAGGAACTTTGTTCCACTTCACAAAGCCTTCTGCCCACTTCCTCTGTCTGGCGTCCAGTGCCTTCCTCCCTGCAAGACTGTAGCAGCTGACAGTCTTCCAGCTGGTGCGCCTGCTCCAGAAAGGCCCACGGAGACACTTGTGCTCTGAGTGTGGGGAACCACAGGGTGAGGGGACAGGCCTTAGGGCTCTCCATGCTGGGCTGCAAGTGTCTTCTGCATAAATGTAAATGTTCCCAAGATTTAAAAAACCCAAGCCCTGTTTACAGTCTTCATTTTCTTCCATTTATCCGGTTCTTTGGACTCCTGGTGTGGTACTGTAGAATCAGCACTGGACTGCAAACCACAAGGTCAACAGTTCAAACCCACCAGCTGCTCCTTGCAAACCCTATACAGGGTCGCTATGAGTTGAAATTGACTTGACCACACTTAACAACAACAGATGTGGTTCTTGGGTCTAATTCCTTGGGTCTGACTCTACCTAAGGACCCCTGGAGGGGCACTGGGTTAGGCTTTTGACTGCTAACCTCAAAGTAAGAGGATCAAACCCATCAGCCATTCTGCTGGAAAAGATGAGACTGTCTACTTCCATCTAGATTTACAGCCTGGAAGTAAATCTTGACTCTCTTCTACTCTGTCTTGGATTGGAACTGACTTGATGGCAGTAGGCTTCTACTATTGTTTTTTGGCTCTACCTAGAATGGTTTGGAACTTTGTAGAACATAAAGGGAAGTTAGCTTTCTACGGATCCCTTGCAAGACGAGGTGCTTATGTCCTCACCCTGAGAGGATGTCTGTTCTTCTCTGTGGCTCAAGTGATGGAAACCCTAACACAAGACCCGGGATGTGGAAATGGGCAGTTTGCCTGTTAACCGCGCCCCTTGCCTCCCTGACTCCCCGACTTCCAATCTGAACAGGCTGCGTCAGGCCTGTGCCCTACAGGTGCCAGTAGAGTGTGACTGGAAGGGTGACTGTATGGCATGAGCTGTCATCTTTACTCAGAGGATGAATGACTGGCTGGCCCGATGCAGGGTTGAAGGTCCAGTGTGGTATTGGGTGGCTAAGGGGACATTCTGGATTCTTGTGTGCCTCTGGGCAGAGAATAGCAGAATGACATTCCTGGGCCTGTCTGTGCCTGAGGAGGGAAGGTGTGTCTCTCCTGCCCAGATCAGCTGCTCACCCACCCAACAGCTGAGGCACGAGTCTGCGTGTTGGGGCGCAGAAGAACAGAGACTCATATTTATTAAAGTCCTACAGTGCACTAGAAACTACACTAGGCCCACTAGGTCCATTTCATCCCCTGCTCCAAGCTTGTAAGACTGATCACAAATGTGCTCACGTTGTACACATGGGGAAGATGAGTCCCAGACAGGAGCCCACACCTAGTCAGGGGTTGAGGCGAGGTTCAGGTGAAATCTTAGGCAATAGCGGGAGGTTTTTGAATGTCGGCCAAAGGTCCGACAGCTGAGAAGGCAAGCTGGTACGTGCCTGTTCTCGACGCCACAGGTGCTATCGAGAGTTCTGTTTCCACAGGAGTGTGTCCCTGAGGCCTGGCGCGCTGCATGCCCAACACAGATGTGTCCCAGGACAGCTAGGGCATGCGTCAGCACCTACGCTGGGCCCTCTGGGAGTTAAATGCCAATACAGTCAAGACAGGAATGATAGGTACCAGGGGAGAGGCTGGTGGTCTAGGGAGCTGCCTGTGAGAAGAGACCATTTCACTGCCCGGGACCACGACGACCTAGTCCACCCCTCCTGTGTGCTCACATGTGAGTGCTCAGTGAGAGATCACTGTGGCTTTATCCTGTCTACCCCATGTCCACTGCCGTCGATCGATTCCATCTCACAGCGGCCTAACAGGACAGGAGAGGGTAAAAGACTGTTGGTCATTACGGAACAGACTGCCTCATCTTTCCCTCAGAGTGACTCGTGTATTAGAACCACCGACCTTGCAACTAGCAGCCCAATTCTTAACTCACTACACCACCGGGGCTCCTTACTGCCAGGTTGTTGTTTTTGTTAAGTGTCCATCAAGTCAGCTCTGACTCATAGCGGCCCTATATAGGGTTTCTAAGGAGCAGAGTAGTTGATGGGTTTGAACGTCTAACCTTGTGGTGAGCAGTTCAGTACTTATCCTACAGCACCACACTAGGACACCCTATTGTTGTTAAGTGTCATTGAGTCGGTTCCAACTTATAGTGATCCTGTATAGGGTTTCTGAGAACCAGCTGGTGGGTTTGAACTGCCAAACTGTGGTTCTCACTCCAGTGCTGATCCTACAGTGCCTCTCCAGGAGTCCAGGACACCCTCCCTCTAGGATGGGGAAATGCCTTGTTTTCAGTGGAGAAGGCTGCCTATAATGGTGTTCTACATTGTCTGGTCAACATTTCCTTCCACGGTGACTTACAGGAACACTGACAAGGCAGTGACATTTTATGGTCAATTTGAACTGCAGAGTCGGCAGTTCAAACCCAATAGCCACACCTCAGAAACCCTATACAGGGTCGCTCTGAGTCGAAACCAACTCAATGACACTTAACAACCACAACAACGTGGCTAAAGGGATGACTGGGGAGCGCAGTGGCTCCTACTATAAGCACCACACTGTGAATCACAAGGTCCACGGTTCGAGCCTGCCAGCTGCTCGGTAGGGGAAAGGGGAGCCTTTCTGCTCTCTCAAAGCTTTAAAGCCTCAAAACCTCCTGTGTTGTCGCTATGACTTGATGGCACGTCACATAACAACAACAGCAACAAAAGGCTGGTTAAGATGGTGGGTACAGAATACCAGCCTCCTGGAGACTGGCTAGAAAGATGATTTAAAAGTTATACACTTGAAACATCCCCGTTCCGGTGTCACGGATTGTACCTGGGATTCAGACAGTTAGTTGAGCCGGCACAGAAGTTGGGAGCCATGACTACCCTGGTGTGGCACGGCAGAATAAGCACTCAACTTCTGGGTCAACCTCAGGAGGGTTTGAACCTCTGGTCCACAGTTCAGACTCATCAGCTGCTCCTTGGAAACCCTATACAGGGTCACTATGGGTCAGAACCGACTCCACAGTGCTAAACAAGAATGAAGAAATGGGTCTGTAGACTGACATTTGGTTTGTTTATGAGTGTTTAATTAAATAAGCTATTCCTTTCATTTTTTAATAAGCATCCAGGGAAACTGATATCAGGGGTGTTAAGGAACTGGCAAATGCCTGGTAGTGTGCTAGCCCTTTTCCTGCCCCCCAACATGGGCAGAAAAACATTTGGTCTCACATCATAAACATCGTCTGCTCTTCCCCTTTAATTGCCCCCTTGTAATTCAGGTATGCTGCCACCAGGTGGCAGTGGTATCGTAGTGTCTACAATTGGATTTAATTCTTGTGACCCTGGTGGCACAGTGGTTAAAGCTATAGACTACGTTGATGGTTCCTATCCACTAGCAGCTCAGCGGGAGAAAGATATCCCCACTTTTTATAAAGATTTGTACAGCCTCAGATGTCCTCTAGGGTCACTATGAAATGGAATTGACTCAGTGGCTGTGGATATGTGGTTGTTGCTGGGGTTTTGCTGCCCTGCTTTTGGTCAGACTTAAGGAAACATGTTTCCCTCCCAGTTCATAAAGCAAGCTAGACGACCTGGATTCAAATTTTAGTTTTGTAGCTTACTTGTCTCCCGATCTGGATAGATTCTTTGTCAACGTTGACTAAATTCCAATGCAGTTCCTCAGTACTTGGCTATATGGGAGAGGCATGACTAGATGTTTTGTTATTCATTGTCAGTTTGCAGATGAGCAAACAAGCCCCAGAGAGCCAGTGACTTAGCCATCATCATCATGAGGCAAATCTGAGTCCATCTCTTTGGGACTATCCTTCCTTTTCCATCTTCTCAGCAACTAACCCTTGACATCTCCTCACAGCTTCTCTCTCCCCTCTGTACTTAAAACCAGCCATTTGGGGCCTTTTTCCTTCTCCTAAAATTCTTTAACTGAAAAATCAGCAAAACCTGAAGATCCATCAGCACCTACTGCCACTGAGCCATTTCCACCCCATAGTGACCCTATAGGATGCCTTAAGGTTTCCAAGGCTGTGGACCTTAATGGGAGCAGACAGCCTCGTCTTTCTCCTATGGAGTAACCGGTGGGCTGGTTTGAATTATCCTTGGGGTTGGCAGCCCAACACGTGAACCCACTGCACCACCAGGCTCCTTAATAGCGAGATCGTTGCTGCTGTTAAGTGCCATCTGGTGGGTTCCAACTCATAGTGAATCTGTATAGAGTTTCCCAGGAGCAGCTAGTGGGTTTGAACTGCTGAACCTGAAGTTCAAACCGACCTTGCAGTCCAGTGCTTATCCTACAGAGCCACTCTAGGACTCCAAGATTGAGATTAAAGACATTGAGAAATCCCCCCACCTCCGCTTAGACTTTGGATTTACTGAGTGCTGTGTCCAAGTTGCCTTGTGCGGGACAAGCTTTTGTGCAGTCTTCTTTGCCAAGCATGTGGTCTTTTTGTTTTGTATGTTTTATTGTGAATTATGTGATAATTTACATGGGAGAACATTAGTTTTACATTCATCCTATCATAAACCAACCAAAGTGTATATCCTACAAGCCTCCCCCGGTCATCAGCACACAGCCCCTCTCCCTCTCTGGATCTAAAGTCCCCAGCTGTTCCATCTCTCTCTACGTCATCATCTCTGCCTCCATCTCTGGCGTCACTGCTTCTCTCGATAGGGTCCCGCTCTCCGCTCTTCTCCCTTGATGGTCCCAAGGACCTCTGCTCCTAGACTGAGAAGTTAATAATCACTCCCCTCCTTGCTATAAAACGTCTCCCTTTACATTTACAACCCTCACAATCAGTCCTGATAACAATTATTCACTCTTGTATCGCAAGAGACCTATCGGCATTTCATTGCATC